TATAATATTTAAGATTCGCAGTAGAAATTTCCATTTTCGCTAGCTACTTGCGCGCGTGCATTTCGTTGATCACTCGATGTTAAGCGAATCGCAGCAATAACGAGAAATATTCATAAATCACGAGTAATTAGTAAGAGGAGTCGTTTCTTTTACCCGGAGTTCCATAATTTGCACAAATTGAATCCAATAAACCGGAAATTATGTTAAATTGAAGAATAAATAATTGACGTTCTCTGTACACGGTGACGTCGAACCGGTGAATAGTGCAATCCAAAGGAAAACGATGGCACGCCAAATATTTGAAAATGCAGAATACCTCGGTGATAGTGATCGTGTATGAGCGTTGGCACGCGGGACACGATTGCCGCAAGAGAAATACGAGCCACTTTCAACAACGATTTTTACAATAATACAGGACTTTTATTTTATTATTCATCTTTCATTATCACATGGTATGTGATTGCGACCACCAATACAAGTTGGTTATAACGATATCTGATCGAAGTACAAGTGAGCCCGCGCGTAAACGCCTGCACTCCGATGAGACTCCGATATCGATTTATTCAAAAATGAAGTTTCAAGTGAGAAAAGAAAAAAAAAAAAAAAAACGAAAGGAAAGAAAAATGGTACTCTACATTTTCGTTTTATCGTTCCATCTAGAACCGCTACGCGCATGCTCGTGCAAATGCGTATTTTTGTCGAATGCAAATACCCAGGCGTAGTCTAAATTTTAATTCGTTTTGTAATTAGACAGCTATAAAAATGTCTTAAAAATTTTTACATAAGAATATATGTAAAAACATACTGTAGCTATTGCTATTTTGTGAGATTGATTTAATTTATTAACAATCAACTCTCGTGTCACGAGACAGAAACTTGATTCATCAGTGTAATTAATCTTCAGCTACAGATTGACATTCTGCTGTGAATTTAGAATGTAGATTCGAAATCGGAAATTGTTTAACCAAAGGAACAAGACGGGAACGCGAAAATTTCACTCGAATGCTTTTAAGAATGTTGAAAGTTCAAGAAAATAAATAAATTCTTTCACCGTGAAGCATGAAACTGGCGAGCTACGTACAATGTATGCATAAATGAAATATAAGAGCCGCACAGAAGAAGAAATGATGCAAATGCCAAAAAAAAAAAAACAACACTGAAATGTTTCTCACTGTCGGTCAGTTTTTCTACGTTGCAGCATCAATCCATCATATCGCAAGTGACCTGGTTTAGTATGCAGAACGTTGTCAGCAACTGAACTCGAAATTTTTACCTTGACTAGAGTTTGGAGTTTATCACAGAGTTCAGAGTAAATGGTTGTAACATTAAAGATACTAACCCCGATTTCTATATTTCCATGTATTCCAGATACTACCAGCATGTCTCACGTGAAATTCCTTTTCTACTGCAATACGATACTAGAAATGAAAATCAAGCGAAGATCCACTAGAAAATTTTGACACACTCAGATTTCAAATCAAAGTAAATCGTAGTTTAAATTTTAAACATTTGAATCGCAAAACCAAACTTTTGTGAAATTTGTTACATTCGTTCGTATGTTTTATCTTCCCATTTTTCACTTGATTTTTTTCAGAAAATTGACGACGTTGCTCGCTGGGTTTCGATTATTTTGGCTCCGCGAAAATCTACACGGTGATAGGTATTATATTTGTACTATATAGGTCTGCAAACGTACAATCGTTTGTTCAGATATATGTGAAATGTTTGCACGTGGACGACTTTTAGCCAGAATTTTCATTCGAGCACTCGCCAGAGTGATATTAAAACAAACTAATCGACACAACTATTAATCCGTCAGTTATATACCTTAAATTTGTCAGTTATATACCTTAAAAAAAAAGAAAACAAACGAAAACATCTTTGAACCTAAATATTATAATTTCTCTACCGAATCATGAAATGAAATCAAAATCTATCGTGTTCCTCTCTTTGTAATTCTCTTTGCACAGAAATACAAAATGCTTTCGGTCAAATGAAAACCGTTCGAATCGATGCGAGCACGAACTTTTTAATCATTCCCTCGCGAATCTAATTTTCCTCCAGCACGTCATTTCCGCCGGTTGTACTTGATCTTTATGGCACTTCAAAATATACAGGCATTTCATGTTCGTTCCTCGACATCCACGATCTCCGCCAGTAGTTTCACTCGAGCACGTCAAAAAGCACGTCATTTTCAGCATGTTTGTCCTCGCGGAGAAACACCCCTTTACGATTCCACGGCGCCCCGTGAGTCACCCTCGGGAATTCACGGGTTTTATAGACCTTTCTATGCACGAGCGAAGCCGCTCGGGCCAGAAAATTACGCGCCACTGTGTACTTGCACATTCAAATGAAATCTTTAGCGAAAAGAGCGGTGGAGAGTGGCCACCATCGTTGATTCTCGCGTATATAGGGTGATCCATTGGTCACTTCGACGCTCTCGTTATCGGTCGTGATCCCAAGGACGAACGCTGAAGAGAAAAGGAAACGCATCATATTGCGATAATAATATCTTTATAGGCTCTCGAGACGTGAAAGTTACGTTTATTATTTCCTCCGATGGAATGATACATTTTTTCACTTTTCGTTTTACGACGTGATAGAAGGTTCCTTTTTTTTTTTTTTTTTTTTTTTTTGGCGGGATATACGCGGAGGCGTAAAAGTATAATAAAAGGAAGCAAGCCCTCGTCGTGACGAATGACCGGTGTACAATGGTGTTCGCTGATTTTGAGATTTGGAGTTTAGAGAGCTTTGGAAATCGGGGAGCGTTAAAGGTTTTAAATAACTTTTTAGTATCGAATGAAACATTGAAATACATTGAAATTGAAAGCCATGAATGTGGATTTTGTTTTATGCCCCCGCTGGAAACAATTTTTTATACTTTTCATCTAATGTTGAACAATAGTGGAAAGAAAAAAAAAAAAACTTGCAATTGTTTGATGTTATTGATTTCTGAAGTATTATTAAAAATATATATATGTATATTATAGTTACAATAGATAAAATTTCTCTTATTTTTTTAGAACGAGCGAATTTTTTCTCGAGAAAAGATCTTACAGCGAATTTCAAGAAATTATTGTAAATGATAGACTCCAGTCTTTGAGATCGTAGCGAGTTTAATTGCAGGAAAAATGTTTCCACTGTCTCCAATTTTTCCAACTTTCGAGAGCAAAATTGTCCTTATTTTCTTGTCTGCTGCACGATGTATAATAGTAAACGCATTTACAGAAAACAAACTCAGGGCTGTTAAAGTAGAGAAGCCTCGCGCTTTGAAAGATGCCTTCCAATCGGACTTGCCGATTGAATTTTTCCGCCAAACAGTAATAATTCAGAGTATCCACAATTTCCAACACTTTTGTCTGTCTCTGTACAAAATAGAAGAAGAAAAGAGAGAAAAAAAAAAGAGAAAAAGAAAAAGAATCGTCAAGGATAGAAAATTTCTTCGTCAACGTGGCACATCGACAATCGTTAACAGCATCCCTAAACTAGTTTACCCGGGCGAGGCGAGGAGAGATAAAAATCCATATCGGGCGGAGGAGTTCTGCGAATCGTGCTACATTCGTGTGCCGGCCTCCATTTCCTCCATTCTCTCTCCCTCGTTCGACGAGACTGGCTGAGGCGGGGGACTGAAAGACAATGATATTCAGTCATCCTAATTAAGACCGTGTCCTTCGTCGCAATTATGTCGAGCCCAACAGCGTGCGGATCTGCCCGCTCGCTACCGCGCGAAAACAATAGAAAAAACGAGAAAACACAGCGGGAGGAAACGGCATGGCCGGCAAAGTCGCAAAGTCGACGCGTGTGTCGGTGGCCATCACGGATCAACCGAGCGTCGGACCGTGTGTTTGCGCGTGTTTGCCCGTCAACCTCGGGAGACCCGAGGATTGTCCAACCCGGGCAACGAGTGAGAAACGCGTGCGTACAATTTGCTTACCGATGCGCACCAGTCACGGGGAAACCCCGTGGTCTTTTGTAACAGTTAGCCGGTGTGGTCGCGGCGATTCGACCAGTCCGTTACGATCTGAAAACACACGACTCTCGGGCCCATAATTGGCCGCAAATTACTACTTCGCCTCGGGGGAAATCAGTTAATGCCTTGCATGTTGTTTCGCGTAATCGGACCGATCCCTTTTACCTGGCTGTCAACCCTGCAGCTTCTTTGCCCACGCGTGATTTCGGCCTATTTCGAAGATTTCTGATTGGATTCAGTGACGGAACCATGTGTGTATATATATACAGGGTGTTTCGTAACTTGTGGGACCCGCTTCGGAAGCTGAAAAAAAGTCATATAAATATATCTCTCATTATATCTCATAAACGAAGACAGATAAGACATATATTTATATGACTTTTTTTCATTATTTTCAGGCGTACAATCAGTTCCCGAAGTGGGTCCCACAAGTTACGAAACACCCTGTATATATATGTGTGTAAAATCAGCAATGATTTCATCATTAAATGATATATATGTGCGTGTGTGTTATTATTATACGTTATCATTGAGTATTTGTTGACAATCTTATGTATCTTGGAAGAATTTATTTATGTTTCAAGTTTGATTAACTCGAATATATTTGAATATTTGTATGAGACGTACTCTTTCGCTCAAGAGATCTAGAACACGTTTTATTTATCATTTATAATTATATTTATTTGCATTAATCATATTTATTATTTAATATTTAATATTTTATTTAGTATCTTAAAATCGTTAAATTACGGTGGTTTTCATGATAGAATTCTTAATATATTGACACTTTCAGATTCTTCGTCGTACAAAATACTATTTCATTCCTTCAGAACAAATTCTATCTAACTCGTTCTTTGTTGTCTAAATTTTCAAATTTAGTGGCAAACGACTTTGAGAAATAAAAATTCACTCGAACGTCGAAAGAATCTACGTTTCGCGTCATCGCTATAGAACAAATTGAGAAAGAGAAAAATTGAAGAAGAGGAACCGAGTTGATCTAATCGACCTGTTACATTTCTGTGTCTTTCAGGGCTGTGGTGACAGCGGTTTCTTGGCATCCGCACGGCACCTATCTCGCATCGGTGGACAGAGCAAAAACGGTGACAGTCTGGGGCGACCATGTTTAACAGGGCAAACAGTGCTGGGACAGACGATTGTTTCACGTACGAAGGTCAGCATCACGTTCTTTCGCGTCGAGGCGGACGTTCCCTGGATTGAAAAATGCAGATGCATACAATAGTTGCGGAGTTGTCGCACAAAGGACACGCTCGGTATGCCGGAGAATCAGCGGGGTCGGTTTCGGCGCGCGGCGTTGTAAAGTGTAGCCATTTGCCAGATTGTACAAAGCGAAGTTACCGTAGGCGATGAAGCAAATTTCAGCCAACCGGTAGAGATTATTGTACATAAAACTGCCCCGATTGTTGCCCTCCCCAAAGATTGTAAAGATTCCCTCATTTTCCAGGGTAATACCGGCCTGCGCCACCACCCTTCACCCCCCTCTTTTCCAACGGATTGTAGTTGTCCTTCTTCGAGATTCGCTGGACACGCTCCTTTCCACTTCTGAGCGATTATTTTCCCCTCCCCTCCGCGTGTTTCGGTCGTCTGTGTCGGCAGATATCGATCACGCTCACGTTGGATCACTTTTATGCGAGAAACTGTGAGACGTTGCTTCGGCGTTTTTCGTTCGCCATCGTTGAATTAGAATTTCAACGCGCGTTATTTAAGCCTTTTAGCGTTCAGCAATCGTGAAAAACACGACGAGAATATATCGCGGCGCGTGGAAAAACAGTAGGTCGTTTCGCTCGTTGGATGCTCCGCGTTCTAATTAATCTCGAATTACAGTGGCTCGTTATTTCTTCACGGTTTTGCAATTATCGTCTATAACTAAATTTAGTTCGCTTCTCCCCTCGGCAAACTAAAGGGGGTTAATTAATGCAACTTTCGCGCGACGAATTTCTTTCAGTTATAATAACGCTTGTCAAACAAATAGAAAAGTTTCGTTGAAGATCAAACTTTCGAATCCTTTCAACGAGATTGTCACGGTTCCGTACATTTACGATTAAATTATTGACGCGTTGAAAAATCATCTCGACGGAATGCAGTACGTCTCAAAAATTGTAAATGGTAAATTTACGTTTCCAGTAGCTTTCGCATCACTTTTTCGATTCGCGTCGCATGGTCGATGATTTTTCTTTTTTTTTTTTTTAATCAACGATCGCGCGTAATATTTTCTGATATTCTCTCAGTCTGTCTATTTCTCTCTCTCTCTCTCTCTCTCTCTCTCTCCGTCAAGAGGGAGAAAATTAAAAAATCTCTGTGAAGTCATAGAACAAGTTTGTTAATTGCCGAAGCAACCGTGAAATAGAGTCTACTCGGAGTTCTCCAACGTCAGCGAGTTTCGAACGTTTTTATCGTAAGTCTGATGTAGGGCGGAAGTGGATGTACTCGTTAAACGAACAAGCACAATAAAGTTGTAATACCGAGTAAATTGCATTACACAAATTTCGTTCGATCGATGGAAATGTGTATCGAATAATATTACGCTTTCATGTCGCTATCGATTTTATTTCATCGAATGCGAGGATTTGATTCGTATGAGTCATTTCATGGTTCTTTTTACAAGAAACGTGATCGAAACGTTCGTTGATGGTCTATTCTCCGTAATTTGTTTAATGCTTTTAGCTCAATCTTAAGCTCCAGCTCAAAATAAAGCATTAAACTTCAAAAACAACTGCTGGAGGCAAACAGACTGATGAAAAAAGATGACTTTTGCGTATCGTAATTTGAAAGTTACACATAGAAATTTACACATAGAAAGTTACACGTAGAAATTCTGAAGTTTAAACTTTATGCATGTGCGGTATTTTTTTCTTTTTTTTTTTGAGAAATATTTTCTTTCATATTTATTTGTGGACTACAATATATTTTAATTTCTCTGTGTATGTCTGTTAGAACTTTCTATCTTTACTTATTGCATTTGAACACTATCTACTTAAAGGTTTTATCTCCTTTTTATTTTATCACGCTATACTTTTTAAGCGGAAATATAGACTTGAAGCAGAAATGGATTGTTGCAACAGTTACAGAGGACCGAAATATTGATAAGGATATTTACATCACATTTTCTTTTTTTCGTTCTATTTACATTACATTTTCTTTTTTTCGTTCTAAGGACGACAAGGATATTTACATCACATTTTCTTATTTTGATAAGGATATTTACATCACATTTTCTTTTTTTCGTTCTAAGGACGTGTTTTTAAATATTTTTAAATACATCACACTTTCTCCCTGTTTTTTAATACATTTTTTAAACTACATTAGACTACAAACGATTCGAAATAATGGTAACTGAAACTTAAAACAAATTGAAACTCAAAACAAATTAATTTAGTTTAATATCTAACTGTTAATCTAATTATTAATATTACTATTAATTAAACAATTATCATTAATAATACTCATAAAACAATAATTATTAGTTTTGTAAGTGTATCGTTATTCAATCTTTTTGAATCATGGATTATTTCTAATATAAAAATGTTAGAAAAAACATATATCGTCATAACTATAGATGGAATTAATGTGAACGAGAATTATTTCGGTTCATCATAATTGTTTGAGAAACTTTATATATATATATATATATATATATATATATATATATATATATATGACAGTTCATAATTCCTCAAATCATTACAATATCCTCTCAACTCTTTTAATCCCTTTTTAATTTCTCTTTTCTTCGTCAAAGGCACGATTCAAAACCACAATTTATTCCTGGCATTCTCATCTAATATATATTCTTTAAACTTTTCGTGTTTTTTCCTCTGCGATCTAGAACATTGTTATAGAACATTGTTACAAAATTGTGAAGCTCGGAACAAGATAAATGCACTATAGGATTTCAATTTTTCGATTGATCGAATGGTGTTCATAACTTTCCTAATTGTTAGTTCAAAACGATGTAAGAAGCTCGATTCATTCGCCTCAGTCGTTTTGTATTTTTATTTGATTTGTTTTACAGAAAGAGAAGAATGGATGGATACCACTCTTCTCGGTAGAATTGAAATTCAATCGACCAAAATACTGAATTCAAATCTGTAGCGCTATAGTACTGTACTAGAGTAAGAGTTTGTGTTCAATTGAAAGCATCTGTCATAATATTTCGCCAAGTAGTTTGACAAGAGGCTGCTATTTTAAACTGCACTTTGACCAACAAGGCTCTACGTAAACCTGTAAGAATTTTTAGCGTACAAATTACTATTCTAAATCTTGCCGACCGGAGAAAGCAGAAAATTCGAGACGAGGAAAGTAAATGAGAGAATCGTGCAATAATTGCGACGTGAAATGACTCATACCTTGCACTTTGTCTCGAAACACAATACTTCTCGGTATCATAATTTCACGCGTCACCCGTTACTTGTTATGATATTTCGCGCGCGCGACAGCTAGAATGTAGCTAATAGTCGCGGCGGTAAAAATTGCACAATAGTCGTAAACGAGTGCTTTTTCTTCTAAGCGTACAGGGCCAAGATCGAAGGGCTCTAAACGTAAACTTAGCCACCCTAAGGACTTCTGTAATGTAATTATAGGAACTTACGAGTTAAAAATCGCCAGAATTTGCCGGTATAAGCGCGAAATGCCAACGTGTACAGTTTTTCATATTTTTGATACGTGTTTTTGTTATTTCGACCACACGACAAGTGCACGAGACATTGATACAACATACACATCGTATACAGAACGCGATTGTGAGTTTTTCTCTTTCCGCTCTTCTGCTTCGAGTTCGAACATCATTTCGCTTCGGAAGTTTTCTTCTCGCTAAGTCTTTTGATCGTTTACGTTTGTATTTGGCGCAAATCTACGTTGACGCCGATGCGACGATCTAGATTTTCTGAATAAGTTGGACGTTAAACACGGTATAATTCTGGTATAATTATTATATATATATATATATCATTCTTTATCGTTTAACTAACACATCGTAGAGTTAATGATATTATGTTCTAGCTTTATTTTCAGTTCTTCGTAAAATCGTGAATCGCCACTGTACTCAAACTGTAGGGTTAATTTCAATATCGGATCCATCGGTAGCCTCATCAGTCTTGTTCTCGTTTCTTTGATTAACCATCCGATTGATCTCAAAAGTGTAATAGCTTCTAGAGTAACGTATCGATCGACGAATCATATTTTTCTACGAGCGTAAACCGATGAGCATTAAGCTAAGTATATGTATCGTTTCGTAGCGTGCGATCGTTCGAGTATGTTCATTTTTGGAGCAAACTGAATTGCGTCCGACTTGTTATATGATTCTTTCTCGAGCGTACGAATGATATAGTACACACACGTCTACGCTGTTATTCTACTTCACACGTTTAATTTCTGCGAAAACATTGTATACACATTGTTTGCATTATATTATATATGATACAAAATGATATATTATATATGATACACATTAAACGTTTTCTTCTTGTATTTTTTAAAATGCTCTGCGTTCTATTTTTTTCCTTCCCAGAACCCGTACCCTCTACTAGATCAATAATTTACATTTATTCAAATATTAATAATTATACGTTTATATTTATTCAAATCTCCGGACAATTGTATATTTATATTCGACATTAATGTTAGAGATATTCGTTAAAATTTCATGTAAAATTTGCATACAGTTAAGTGAAAATTATTAGTGAAATTTTACTATTTGCAAGTTATAAATTACGTACGTGGCAGGAACGAGTTCGACAATGAGATCAATGGAATTTTTCAAGGAAATTTCGCAGATGACAACTATTCCACGAAGAATTTGGAAATTATAGGACGAAGAATTACAAAACAGCGGGAACAAGTTCGTGATTCCATATAATTTGAAACTCGTGAAATTATTATTATCGCGCAAAGAGATTCTGGCCGCCTGGTCGAGGTATATATTAATTTCAATGGTAATAGATTGTTCGAGAAATATTCCGTCCCCTCTCCCTCGAGTTTCATACAGCTCTTCCTCAACTTTGGCATTCGTGCAGCGCGAAAAAGATTCCTTTGTTGCGAACGACAGGGGATTCGCGAAAAGAGTTTTTATTCGAAGATGTTTCTGGGTAAGTAGCAAAGATCTGAGCGCGCGGCGCATTCCTTCTTTCTTTCTAAAAAAAGAAAAAGAAAAAAAGGAAGAAAAGGAAAATTTCAAATGCACCATCTGTATCTTTGATTTACCACGAAATGAAAGGTCCTTTCATGCTAAAGAGACAAGCTACGTCGTCGTACTTCGTCTTTTGTTTTATCCATTCCGCCCCACTCTCCCATCGTCTGTCCTTTTCGAAATAAACAACCAACATTTTAAATAGACTATGTCGTTCATAGTCGACATAGTTCCACCCTCGTGTTCTCTAACAAAGCAGTATATTTCTTACAAATTATAAAAGGAACAAGACTTTAAAAATCCGCGCCGTAGAAAATCCACCATGCGAAAATGATTTTAATCTTCTTCTTCGAATGCTGCCTCGAACAATAAAATGTTCTCTTTTTACGTTTAAAATTAGCAACAATTCTGTAACAGCGTAATACGTTTCATCCCTCGATATCCTTTAGTACAAAAAAAAAAAAAAAAAAAAAAAGAAAAAATTACAAAAAAATCTGTCTTCCACGGAATCACGTTTCAAATACCTTGAAACCTAGTGTCTCCAATTTTTCTATCGTCACGTCGCTAAACATCGCTTCCCTCTAGACCTGCGCATTTCCAAAAGAAAGAAAAGAAGAGGGTGTCGCCGACGCCATCATTCGCCAGCTTCCGCGGTACGGAGCATATTCGCGAAGAAGGATGATAAGTCCGCTCGCACGGAGGAGCCGCGTACGCTGGCTGGCTGGTGTAACGTGTGTACACGTACACGTGCGCATGTATCAAGATCCCTTCACAGAGGTCCACGATATAACAGAGCGTGTATCTGACAGTACCTAACGTGCTTTCGAAAGCGCTCATTAGTCACTGAAATGCGGTCGCCAAGTGACAACTCGTACGTGGAATATTATACGGTCGAAGAACTTCCGCTGTGTCGTATCGCGCGACGAGCGATGCACGTCCTCTTGCGCATGCACCGCGCCCGCGCGTCTCTCTGTTTCTAACTTTCGCATTATACGCCCTTTGTCCGCGATTCGACAGTTTCGACAGTTTCGCAATGGAACGTGAGAATACGGCGCCGCTCGGCTAGAGGAAGCCGCTTGCAAACGACGTTAAAGTTCGATCGGTACGGCCGCATCTGGGCCACCGAAATTTTTCTCCCGCCTTTCTTCTCTGCTACCAGCCGACACCAGTAGCCTAGTGGTACACGGCCACGAGGCGGTGGCGTACACGCGTGCACGCGTGCACGAGGCTACCACCACCCGCGCGGTAGCTTCGATTCCCGTGGTTTACGTGGCTAAACGCCGTAATCAATTCGAAATCTTTCGATAGAACGCCTCCGGTCGAAGGCACTTAAACGAAAGATTGAACTCGTTTCATTTGTTTTCCTGCACGCGCTCTCCGCGCGCCAGAGAAAAATGTATTTTGCTCGTTCGGTGAACGAGGCAGCCGGAAATTTTACCATCGAGTCGAATAAATCGCGTTTCCGTTGTGTTAAATACCTAGATGGAAGTCGAAGAGGATATTCGACATTGCGTGAAAAAGTCACTTACTAGTAATTATAAAGAGGATCAACGCAACAAAAATTAGTTTCAACGAGTACTTGAAGGATAGACGAAAATACTACGTAATTATTAAAAACTGAAACTGTGGAAATTTTTTTTAAAAACCCTTTAATGCGTTAACTACAATTGTTTCTCAGGTAATTTTGTTCGAAAAACTTTTACTCGTTACTTGCGTCAATCTTCTCTTTTCGTTTAACGAAATATTAATAAATTAATAAACTAATAATAATAATAATAATAATAAAAGAAAAGAAAAATACAAATATCTTAAAAAATACATTTGCTCGTAAGTTGTTTCTGTGACGAGTCATACATGTGCTAGATAGTATATATAAATATTCGAAGAAATAAGAGTCAGTTCAGTGGAAGGGGAATTTTGGATAGAGTTATCGTTGATCTGCGCTACTGAACGTAGATTTCGGTGACTTGTACGGGCGTATGTCAGGCTGGATGTAGTTAAAGTTTATACGTAGGCTGGCTTAAACTTACTGAACAATATGATGAGTTGGATTTGAGTTGGGCCAAGATTAGGATCACGTTAGTTCTGCATTAAGTTTACGTTAGCTTTGCATTATGCTATTAGAGTTCGAGTTTCACTTGCTTAAAGGGTAGATTTCGGAATGTGAAATGTATATCCGTCTTTGAGATCTTTCTTCAACGCATTTAAGTACATTTTATTAACAGTGTTTGTTATATACTGTTTATAACGTCACGACTGACGTAGTTTGAATTTCTAAATCACTATTTATAATACACACGTGAAATTGTCTGTTTCAAGATTTCTGTTCCATAGAGCAGCTGATGCATAATTTAAGACGGAGGTAAGTTCGACAAAGTAATTCTAAATTCTTGGATAATGGTGCAACTTCCATTAATACTGCATGAGGTATAGATGCAGGGAATTTCAAAGTTCCAGGAACGTTTATCAATTTATCAACGAGATTCAAGGATCGTACTATCTCACGGGTAAATAAAAAATGAGATACAATCTCTATACTCTCTATGCTTTTCTTTCTCAATGAAATCGTGTACATATTATTTTGCAGCAATAGTCGCTGACGTCCAAACGAAAATCACGACAGCTTCTCGCTCACTATTACCCACAGAATTACATTTATCACTCCGCATCCGTGTAATTCAACAAACCGAAAGACTTTCAAATTCAGAATACGAGCCACTCTGAAATCCTCGACTCCCACACTTCGCACCCACATTCACCGTACTTGATCTTCTATTTCCCTTTGCGCGCTTCACAACGAATTAACTTCACATCGTCTTAATTCCCCTCTTTCCTTGATACTATCGTCGTCTCGTGATTAAACGTGTCCCCCGTCATTTTATAACGTTTAACGTCGTGGCAAAGCCGCCACAACGCGATTATTGTTGCAACGAAATCTACATACGCGCATGTGCGATTGTTTGCAGTCGACGTAACGAGCAAGAGATTAGGGATTCAAACGCCAAGAGAGAAAGAGAGAGAGAGAGAGAGAGGGCAATCGCATAAAGGAATCAGAAGAGTGACAAATTAACTCACACCTTGGCGGCAGATTCGTGAGGTGGCCTGGTTGTTGGTCGTCATCATCGCGTCGTCTGTAGTAAAGGAATTACGAGCATTACCGGAAAACTCAGCGGAAACGTCGGTCGTCAGTGCCTGGTAAGAGACTCGTGTGCAAGTTTAAGCACGATGTTTGTCCGCTGATATAGAATCAGCTCTCTGTGAGAACGGAAATGCTTTTGCGTTCCATCACACGGAAATACAAACTCCTTTTGCCACTATATTTTGACTGAACCGGTGTGTACCTCTTTGGGTGTTCTCGCAAAAGATTTCCTGCTGAATTTGGCAGCCAAGTCCCCTCCCCCTCTCCTCTCCTCTCTCTCTCTCTCTCTCTCTCTCTCTCTCTTTCTCTGCGCAAATTCTTCTACGTACACGTCGTCGGTGAATATTTCGATTCGTCGGAACATTCACGTCTTCATCGGCGAACGTTTTGCTTCGGAAAGTTTCTTTATTAGATAGCACGATAAAATCATTTCAAATCTACGTCGGTCGAATGGAGCGGATGAATAAACGTACGCGCGTTTATTATGTCGAAGCGCAGGCTATGTTCGTTCAATTACATAGAACAGATTAATTAGGAAATTCGAACGAGTAAAATAACGATCAAAACAAAACGTGACCGTGCGAAATGATGCTTCTGATGAAAAAGAGAAAAAGAAAAAATACGTTGTTCGCAGAGAAAAATAATTCTGTTAATTTAAACAATTTCAGTACAATTTACATTTCACGATTTTCAGTTGGAAAAAATGTAAACACACGTTCAGTTGCTTCGATATATTGTAAAATGCAAAGTTTGCTTTGTATGTTATTGCACGAATTTCTAAATCACCGTCGAAACGCCGTTGAAAATGAAAACGATCGGTATTAATTATACAATATCAGGCGTAACCTTGTCAGATTCGTATTCGTAAGTAGAGCGTTCCATTTATTTATTTCGAGGCGCGTTTAATACTACACGCGAAATATCGTTGAAAAGCAGCGCGATAAAAGTTGCATTTCATGCTTTCAGAGCTTGTGAATTTATTATCGCCTGTTAAAAACGGCAATGTGTCCGACGACACGCCCACTTATCGTGCTTGTAACTTCATCGTGCCTTCCGATTTTTCAATCGTGATTACTTTCAATGCGCTCCAACACTTAATTCGTATGTTTACGTAGACGAATAATAATACGTGGCTCGGTAAATCAAACGGCTGCGTTTCAACCCATTCTTCGTGTCTTCTTGCTCGAATAAGATAATTGAAATGAATTATCGAGGACGAAATCACGCGTAATTACCATAATTTAGTGTTTCGTGTTTTCGTGAATTAACGTCAATCGATTTCATTTGAGAAATAGCTCTCAACTCTCGTAAAATTTTATTCCACCTTCTTGATTTATTCTTCCGCGAAACGATTGCTCGTTTTTTTCTCAATTTTCGTTTTAAAGTGCTTTCGTTCTTTGTTTTTTTTTTTTTTTTTTGTTTGTTACGCGTAAAATGTTGGTTTCAATAATGAAATTCGCATTTTTTACGCGTGCCTTCCGCACGAGTTAACGAAGCAGTATATTTCAGTGAGCGATAGATCGCGTTATGCTGAACGAGCATATTTTGTTTCCTCAGTGACATTAATTATTTCCAGCTCCTTGAAATATAACCCTATTTGTTTGCTAAACTTGTCAAGCCAGGGAAACCGCGAAATAATCTTTCGTCATCTCGCAACTGTGAAAAATGTCTGATTAAATTTATAGGAATAAATCGAATTGTTCGCGGAAAGATTTACATAGAGAGAAACTCAGGTAATTTCGTTTCTTCTTGAATGCAACTTGGAGTTTAAACCGACAGTGTCACGATATTGACATTTGTCTTCGAAAAGAAAATTATCTTCTCTTCTTGTTCTTGAGACGTGTTCCCGATATAAAATTAACACGTCTAGGAAAATTATTCTGAAATTGAACATTTCATCGACAAACCTAAATTCTGTGAAATTAGAACTATTGAATGATGTATTCAACTAATTCAAAGAAACTTTGTTTCGAGTTTCTCGTAACGTAATCTCAAACAAAACAAAAAAAAAGAAAAATTAGAAAGAATGAAATTTCTATTAAAAATACTTCACGAGTTAACCAACGATCGTACACGTTCGCGTATCGAACAAAAGCAGGAAGATTTAAATTTCTTGGTACTTTTATATTACATGCAATAGATTTTACAAGTACGGATAAACATGTTATAATAATTTAACAATGAAACCGAAAACTGTTGTCCCGCGTGCGACGATATACGGGCCCGTTCGTACTCGTATTTTTTAGAAACATCAGAGATAAATTACGTTCTGCGATACAATTTCGCCGAATCGACCAAAGCATCGGTAAAAAAAGTTTTGGAAATTTACGCGCGGATAAATCGATAACATTTTGGAACGTCATTGTCTTTGTGCTCATTACGAGCCGTGTATAAATTACACAAAAGCCGCGTAACGCTCGTTCAAATTTTCATTGGGAAATTTCAGCTCGAGTAACGTCTATGGGATTTCGACGTTAAATTAAATCAAAAGTTAAAATGATGGAGTCAGGCAAGTTCTTAGCCATATAATTCTCACTTTGTAGAGAATTATTCACGTGCCAAGCAGAAACGGCAAGATAATAGTCGTGATGAAAATTAAGATCGTATTTCTCGCAAGAGGTACAAAAGATACAATTTTAATGAGAAAATACACGTGAGAATATTTTTCGTTGTAAAAAGAAAAAAAGAAAAACAATATTCTCGTTCAATTTGAAAGATTAAAAATTTTTTTAAATGAGACCCAAAATTTCCTCAATCCCTGAAGTTTACTTATCTAAGCTGTAACAATGTTTCCAAATTTTAATAATACAAAGTAACATTAACAAATTTGTGTATCAACTTCTCTCGTAACGTGAGTTTACAAAGACCTTGCACGAGGTCGATGATATTTAGCCTTCGAGAAATTTTTACGCGTTTCACGCAAGAAAATCTGATAAGTAGCATACATTTGAAACGGTGAAATGTATATACGTACGGAAATAGAAAGATGGAAAAGAAGTAAAAATGCTGTTGTCGTGTAGACGTCGATCACACGATTCGATTCGACTAATACCGTGTCTGAAATACGGGTCAGTCACTCGAATATCATACTCATCCATCCGGTCTTAATTAACTTAACAGTCTGTGATATCCAGTTGTTTCCTTTTAAATGATACGATCGTGATTGCCAGATTCCTTTCGAATCAGACCAAGTCACTTACATCAAACCAGTCGGATCGTATAAGATCGATTATCACGATGATCACAATTTTTTTTCAAACCAGCTTTCGTACCAGAGATAGCTATCTCCGTTTCTTCTTCTTTTTTTCCTTTTTACCCGAACGCAGACACGGCGAATTAAATTTTTACGAGTTAATAATTACTTCCTCGTACGGTATTTGCAGTCTGTCTGTTCATTTTTTGTACTACTTTTTTTTTTTGTATTTGTAACGTGTAGAAAAATACAGATTACACGGATTAGGTTACGAATAAAATAACAAATAATTTCGTCGTGATTAATCTCTTGGAAACGCGTGAAATTTTACAAATATATAATTACTTTGTTTTTTTTCTTTTAAGTACAAATTGCCTTTGGTCGGTTTTATTTCGCTGCAGCTTCGATTTAATTATTTCTCGTGATTTTAATCGAACAATTTCTACACGCGTCGTACGCACGAATCTAAAATAACGAGGGGAATGATAGATAACCATTGTTTTTATTTTCATACGCACTTTACTGGGACATGATTTTATCTGCAATCAGCGATCTGTCGAAGCTGATCAACAAACGCGAATTAATTGCACGCGATATGCCATAATATATTACAGTTGAAGTCCGTTCGTGCCAGCTCAAGTCATGCCGTTTGATCTTAATGAACACAATCGTCTCTGCTAATTATATATCTCTCAAGTCTCATCGAACCTATTTACGAATGAATAGTTCAAAAGTATATATTGACGTGAATTTAAAATTTGTTCCGAACACTTTCTCTTGTTGAAATTGAAATTTTCCGTGATACTCTTGAAAATGGAAGAAGAATTTCTGTCAACGATTGCACGATTTTCTGAATTCCAATTTAATAATTTATTCATCAATCGAAGGATTTTTACTAGTTTCCGGAATCTGAAATTTTGACTCAACGTGAACACAACGCAAATCACCACGGTAAAAATATGCGGAGATTTTTGACTTGAAAAATATAGAGGACAAATCACGTCGACATTATGAACGCAATTCACGTCGCTATTCTTAACGCTCCATCGAGCATACGTTTTCACTTTTATGGCACCGCGTTTGCTAACGAAAATCCCCGTCTCATCTCTCATAAAGTCACAAATAAAATATTAACTACGCGCATGCAGTGCGAAAACAGGTGTTATAAATTATTTCAAATTGTATAGCAGAATTTTTCTCCAGTTTACGATTCACCAAAATTATTTCAAAAATTCGCCGTTCATTAGAACTATTGAATTAAATGTGTAATGTGTATGATGTCGATTAATGTGTAATTTAAGTGACTCGTAAGATCGTTGGAATTCTGACGATGGCTCGACAAAGACGAACGACGTTAATAGAAAAATTGTCTGCTGGATAAATGAATAACAGTGATTCATACGAGATTGAAAGAAGTAGCCACTTGTACGCGAACATAAATTCAACGTACAAACGTTTAATCGACGGATAAAAGACATCTAGAAATTGTCACTGTGATCTTCTTTCGTAGAATGTATGCCAGTGAAGTTAAATGAAATATTTATCGCGTAGAGATAAAGATTAAATGGCCTATTTCTAGGTACATCTTGGAACAGCTCGACAAGCAAAATTTGCGATGAAATTTCTGTTGATTTTAGCACAACAATCTATTCAAGCGAGATAGCGTGAATGTTTGGAAGTTGATGGAGAGCATTTTGAGTACCTCGTACAACATTTTGACAATGTGAACGCAACTTGACGAGTCGCAATGGAAATGATTACGTACTTCTATCATTAGCTATCTTGTGGCTTGCAGGTTCTGCGAATTATCTTTTCGAACAAGTGCCTTCAGAAATTATCAGAATAAAGAAACTTAAGTAAGTTTGCATTTTGTAGTTTGTAGAATTCTGTTAAATTTCGCTTTGTGTGCGATACTTATAATTTATTGATTAATTAATGGTAAAACTTTACTAATAAAGTTTGTATGTTTCATACAAACCTGTTATATAATTAAGAAGATAATTGTTTCAGAATTTGTGATACAAATCGTCGCGAATGCACTGGACTGCGTAAGATAGCTATCAAAGAATTTAGAAATTGTTTCATTATCGGTTTTCGTATATTGCCAGTGCGAAACGGTGGGTCGCCAGATGTGGCAAGTGACAATCGACAACCAAGTACCGCTAGTTGCCGATACGTTCAAATTTTCTCAATTCAGGTTGAAAGGGGCTAGAACGCACGAGCCTACCCTTTGTATTTAGTATGATATCCCGTTTAAATACCAATCAGCTAATGAAACGCAACGATTCGTTTTGATCTACGAAAACTTGCATCCATTTCTTTAAACAACGCGAACAAGAATTCTCTAATGTTAGTTATGCCACAGTTATATCATCATCTTCACGAACCATAAACATTTTTTGTAAAGTGCACTTCGTTCGAAAAAGGTTAAAGTTAAAAGAAAATCAGTGAAATTTTTCTATACTCATTGTCGTTTAAATAAAACGTGCCATGGCGTGCGAGGTTTGGATAACGCTTCTGCAAACGAGCACGAGCGTTGCGTGCTCCTATTACGATTCGGATGTGACGGACGATAATTAAATTTCAGATAAAATTTAATTGCAGCTTTGAGTCTATCTATCTGTATATAACAGAATCGAAGATCGTTTAAGTAGGTACGAACGAAATTTCCTGATTCTTTGTCTATCGCAAGAGCTTTACCACGAATTAAAGATATATGCCACAAAAATAACAATTGGACCATATGTTCATGTTCCGAGCATCATCACACGCTTGACAAATGAGCGAGGTCAATATATCAAAGCGACCACTACGCGTGTTAAAATCTTTCTGAATCTCCGTGTAAGAATCACCGTGTACGAATTAAATCACAATTACAATGACAATAACATCCAAACAATATCCGCAGTTACAACGATAATAATATCGTTATAAAATTCATATGCAGAACACAAACGAGAAGTTGAGCTGTTTCAGTCGTACGTGTGTAATTCATGAAGTTTTTTCCACGGGGGGGGGAGAGGGGGAGGGAGAGGCATTTCACCCTGTGGAACCTTTAATTCGTCCAAATCTCAGTTCGCCGGACCACGGTATCCACCACCTTAACCGTATATCCTTGCCATCGGCAACTCCAGTCCCCCTCCATTCTCAAAGGTACTCGACGTCCCTTCGACGTACACGGCGGTCCCCTTTCCGCCCATCCACCCAACCCCCGACACCCACTTCCGCCGCGTGCGGCGTGTGCATCCCACTCAGGGACATCGATATTGAAACGTAAAAAAGATTCAATCAGTCGCGAAGTTTCATCGCCAATCAATCACCCCTCCCTCCCCCTCGCCCTCCCGCTCACCCCTGCGGAGTTTCTATCCAGCTTTAGGACAGCGAAAGCTCTCTCGCGCGCGCAGCCTGCACTGGCGGCGGCGGCGGTGGCGGTGGCGGTGGCTGATCGCGACGACGACGACGACGCTAAAATGGCCGAGGGGGTGAAACGAGCCAGAGGAGGGGAAAACGGAGGAGAGAACGAGGCGACAAGGGAGGGAGCCACAGGGGCAGAGGAGCAGAGAGAAAGAGAGTGTGTGTGTGTGTGTGTGTGTGTGTGAGAGAGAGACGAGCTTTCGGGTTGCATGACCGAGTCGACGCACTGGAAGCTTTCCGTGCTTGCGGCGGGAGCCTCAGTAGCCGCTTGTACGTCGACCGGAAGAGCTCTTTCGCGGTCCCGGAGACGCGCAGCGCGCCATCGCCGTTAAACCATAGATCGACGAATCGAATCAACCCTCTCCGTCTCCAGCCCTCTTCCTCGCGTCCGTCAACCCTCCGCTTCTTCTTTCGTTTCGTTTTCTTTTTTCCCCCTTTTTCGATCGCGAAGGAAACAAACAAACAACGAGAGTAAAGGAAGAGAGAGCCGCGATCTCGCGGTTTCTGGCGTTTCTCGCATTTGAAATCGGAAGGAGGCATTTCGAAAAGTTTCCCATCCCCTTCCTTCTTTGCGGCGATTTGTTGTTGTTGTTGTTGTTGTTACTGTTGTTTGTTGTTGTTGTTGTTGTTGCTGCTGCTGCTGCTGTCGCCGTTAAAAGTGGATTCGTTCCGAAACAACGAATGAACGAACGAAACACGGGGGATTTTTTTTTTTGCCGCTTTGGTGAAGTGCCATTTCTTTCTTTCTTGGTGGATGGATCTTTTGGAATAGGTGCGACGACTATTGGAGTGGACGCAGGATGTGTTAATATGAACACGGAGGAGCAGTGAACCGTGAGCGTGCATGAGTGCATGATACAAAGGAGGAAGGCTATCGTTGGAGAAAAGAACGAAGAAGACACGATGAGAAGTGCCGCAAGATATCGAGAAGCGCGACCTTCCCTTTTCGCGTCCCTTTTCGTCGTCCTCGCCGTTTTCGTGATCGGTAAGGAACCACCGTGTTGCGAATGCGACACGGCAAGTGATCCATCGCGATATTTTTCAGACACGATCCGTCGCGATTTCAACGACGCGCGCCGATACACCGTGTGACGTTCAAACTAAGAAAATCCAAGATCCATGATCTCCTCTCCTCGTAGATTGTAAAAAGTGAAAGAAGAACGAGAGATGCTCGAACAAGTAATTGCCGAATGCTTCAAGACCGATATGTTATACAATCTTTAACATTCAGATTTCAGTCGATGACAAACACGCAATGCAATTCGCGTCGGCTATCTGATTATTAAAAGATCAAAGCAGAAAACGAATGGCTCTTTTATGTTTGTCGGTGACCTCGTCTGGCCATTGTTGCTGATTCAATCTCGCGAGAAAAGTCTGTGATCTAGAAATCGAATATCTCTCATCAAGCCGACTGGAAACGTCGGAAAGAAACGAAATTACTTTCGAAACGTTCAAAACAAAGGAGAATCACGTCGAGTTCCAATCCGTTGCCGGTGATCGACGCTTTTCACGTTCGATTAAAATTTATTACGTGCCAGCAGGCGCACGTTTCCTCTTCACGTCTTTATCCGTGTTAATTCGTTCTTTAACGACGCTACAATTTCTGCAATTCTAACGTACGTTGTAATCGACGTTTCCTTAAAAAACGTAGAATCAGCGCAACTTTCTTTTTCTTAAATTTCGTAAAATTTCTCCGTTTTGTTTCAAATCAATCTTCAGCCGACTAGACAAGAAAGAAAGACACAACGCGAATTTCTTCAAATGTAATCTACTTCGAATCGAGTTAAACCAGTTTTGCAAAGAAACGAAGGAAATTGAATTATCAAGCTAGTTTTTTTCCGCTACAGTTTCTAGAAATGCAAAGAAAAAAGGAACACGGAAAATAAACCTGCTAATGGAAAGTTTATTAAACCATCATTTTTCAAAAAAAAAAAAAAAAAAACGTCAACCAATTACTGAAAAAAGGAAAGAAAGAATTTTTGTTTTACCCTGAAAAATTCCTTAGAATCGAATCGAACGAAAAGACGAGTCGGCGTTTTAAAAAATTGAGGAGATAATGCACGGGCGAAGGATAGGGGAGGAGGTTTCCGCGTAGTTTCTTGCCGCGATGTACCCGTACGAAACGACGTGTCCCACAGGGGTCTGTGATTTTTAAAGGTTCAATCAGTTTTCGTTGGCGCGCTTTCCCAAGCGCTGAAAGCGACGGGGCTTTTTCGAAACGACACGCGAGCCCATTCGTCTTCGTGAAAGTATTTGAAACTTGGTTTTGGAGAGTTGAGAAATCGCTGCCGGGGATTGTGCACGACAGCCGTATTTTGACTTAAGCCGCGTAACTTCGTTGAGATAAAGTATCGTGGCAGACGTTGAGTGCAAACATATCTCGGCACCGGGGGTTATTCGATTTCGCGGGTAAAAAAAGCGAGAGAGAAAAAGGAAAAGATATCTAGTGCACTTGCGGAACTCGAGACGGTCTCTGTTAGGTGTCGGTACTTGCCGTGAATCTTCCAGAGGGATATTCTCTCGTCGATTGCGGGAGAAAGCGTTTCTGCGCGTCCGTTTCGACGGCACGTTACAGTTTCCTCCTTTTGTGCCGGACAAAACCGCCGTAGAATAGGATTAGAACAGGTTTTCCACCGGACAATACTCGCCCGGGAAAATTTTTATCACGAGGGACGAGTTACGTGCGCGTCATACACCGACAGATATTCTCGTATCTATAGGGATTTCGATCTTACCGATCGAAGCGACAGCTAACTGAAATTTGTGAAATAGAATTCGATAGGAACATCGCGAGGACTCTGCATAGACTGATCCTCGTATTGAACGGATAATCGAGTGAATTTAAAGAAATAAAGTTAAAGAACCTAAATCTAGCCTAAAGATTAGGACCATGCGTGGACATTCTACAAAGAAACTTCCATGTATGGTTAGGAAATAATTGATTGGAATTTGAGAAATTTATAATCTGATAGAAAATTTTGGTCACAAAGAATACCGTAAACGAGCTAAACGTGCGTCTGGCAGGAAATATTGATAACAAAGAACAATAAGACGAGTTACTTGCACAGTTTACTTGGACAGATCCCCGTGTAAAAACTTCGACCTTATGATTAAATAATAATTGACTAAAGTCTATAAAATAAAATTCGGTAGGAAGTCTCGATCACGGATCTTCGTATCTGAAAATTTAGATCTTGCGATTGAATAAATAATCGAGTGAATTTAAAGAAATAAAGTGGTTGAACCAGAAACGGGCGTCCTACAAATTCTCGCAAAGAAACTTCCATTCGTGATTAAGAAATAATGGAAATGATTGAAATTTGACAAAGTGTAATCTAACAGAAAATTTTGACGGCAAAGTACAGAAAATACATGTTATATACGCGTGCATCCTACAAACTTTCGTGAAGAAACTTCCATTTGTGATTAAGAAATAATTGAAATGATTGAAATTTGACAAAGTGTAATCTAACAGAAAATTTCGACGGCAAAGTATATCGTAAACAAGCAACGTACACATCGTGAAAACTTTAATCTTCTAGCTAAATAACAACTGAACGAATTTAAAAAAAAAAGACAGACTCAGTGGACAGTTTCTTTCGTAGAAACTTTGATCTCGTAATTAAATAGTGATTGACTTAAAAGAAGAAGAATGCAGAGTCCGATCAAATGGAATATCGAAACGTGTCACGCGCTGCGTGTTAAATTATAAAAAATTTCAGGAAGAAAAAAATCAATACGCTGCAATATGTTATTTCTTTTTCTTTCTTTTTTTTTCCTGTTCGATGCAATTCTTTATATACCCGCGCCAGGTACATAAATTTTATAAACTTTTCGAAGATCGATTTACTAAATGAAGAGTGAATTATAAAAACTGCATTTCGTTCTGATGGCGCGCTACGGTTTTACACACACGCCCCGCTCTTTGCGATAAAATTTAAAAATATCTCTGGCCCTGTCCAGATAATTTGAATTTCAATATTCCTAAAATACGACGCCCGAATAATATCCGAAAGTTACGGTGAAACGAACGTGAATAAACGGCAACGTAACGAAGAAATTAAAGTGAAAATCGAGCGGAAAACCGAGCGATATTCGAGCGTAGCGTTCAAAAAAAAAAGAAAAAAAAGAGAGAAAAAGTGAAAGACGTGGCCCGCGAACGGTGAAACCGTCTTGAAACGAGCGGTCATTTCACGGTAGAAAACATCAGTCAAACGAAGGGTGCTGTCACTCTTGAAGCGAAACGTCGCCCGACGACTACCAAATAACATAAAAGAAACGATTCTCTAAAGACTTGCATAATTTCTTGCTCCTTGGCGCGAGCTTTGCGATCTTTCATGCCTGGAAAGATGGAAGCTCTGCAGTTACGTTAAATTTATTTCGACGAACTTTTACGTTCAATTAGTACAATTCAGTAACGAACGTGAATGGCGAAGAGGGAGAGGGAAGATTGGGGAGGGAGAGGAAACTCGCGCAGATAAAATTACCTTTTTCCCTGGAGAAAACCCGGAAGTGTACAAGTGAATGCCCTTATCAGGTTGAAATCAATTTACGATCGTACGTCTGGGCTCAATTAAAAATTTTTATCGACAACTAGGCTAATTCAACTCGAAGAAATCACGCCGTTCTATGTGTAAAAGCTCGTACAACTTTGTACACTGGTCACGTTATTAACTCGTTAGCGGCGCTCGATTTTTCATCGTTCTTGCTGGAAATTATTCGATCTGGCAGCAATTAATACCGAAGGTAAATAGAGACTGTAATTACGAGCTACTGAAAACATCCGGGAAACAGAGTAGAGAACGTGGAGAAGCTACGCGCGATTTTTTTCTTTTTTTTTTCAAGAACACGGTAGATCGCTCTTATTGGAAATACATTATGGATGGTAAAAAATTCTATTCCTCGACGTCGGACTTCTTTCGCGTCATGCGCGCATATATGCATTTTTATGTCACGTAGTGATAATCCGAAGATGAGTTGTACGTAACTTTGAGAAAAATTTCGATCTCTTTGTATACCTTTGCTAACAAGAAAAATTCAAAAGTGGAACGTGTAAAATTTAGTCGTCCAATTATTGAAGGGCGTATTTATTAATTGAAGATACGGCTGTAAAGAAGGCTTTCAAATTTAGAATATAAAATGAAATTTCGATTCCAAGATGACTACGTCTATGCGAATGAATTAGCAAAGAGGAATGCACACTTCGTTCGTAATATGATTCACGTGAAGTTCCTGAAGTAGAAACAAAAATGCACCTTTAGAAATTACACAATTAGAAATGTACCGTTTCCAGCTTCTTGGTTTCAACGGTTCTTTAAACAATGATCATCATTTCTTGCTATTTTCCTGTCACTGTCGTAGCAAATGGGCATTACGCTCATCTGACAATTGACTACGATTTTAAAAGACTGAAAAGAATCAAATTAAAGTGGAATTTTTATTCCGATTTTGGAAAATGACTTGAACGAGATAACACCGCGGAGCTTTACCACGACTCATAATCCAAGCTGCGTAACCGGTGTTTGCTTCGATGACGACGTAACAATAACTACGACTATTCCAGCCAGTGAATTATACGGAGTATCAAAGCGAGTGCTATATATCACAAGTCACATCAATTACCTCGTATACTTTAATACATGCAGATGCATATCAAACTAATAGCTGTCTTCTTCACTATACACATTATATATTGGAACAATTACGCGTTTCCTCGGCGAGAAATTCAGACGCTTAGTTAATCGTTATAACGGCGAGGAACGTGCTAACTTTCAGGCGTTTGTTTCGAGCCTGTTTAACGTATCTCGTTCGCCATATCAGGATCCGAATTATTCCAAAGAATTTTTAATTTTTCTCATTTTCAATTAATTAATTTCAGCCTTCTTCCTTGTTTCCTCTCGTCGTAAAATACACGCTCAATTGTCTTCGAATCGTAACGTTATTTTCGAACAAGTTCCGTTTCTAGTTAAATTTTCATTTATTTGC